CCCCAAAACCCCAAAACCCCAAAACCCCGAGATAAAGAGCCACAACTGAATTTATTATCTGACCAACAAATATGTTTCAGTATATTTCACCTACTTCTTTTTAACAAGATCCACGACTGGCTGCCCCTGTGGAATATCTAGACCACGATAGATGTTGTCAATATATCCATTCCCAGAACTTCTGTTGTGTGTTCTCTTATTCTGTCTGCTTTTACCAACATTGTGCTGGACATAGCCTTCCTTACATTCTTCAAGAGGGGCTACTTCAGAAGAGGAGGAAAAGTATTCAGACATATTCCCCCTCACACGATGAGTTTTGTTTTGGCAGTCAGAATCTTCCTCAATGTTAGAAATTATTGCATTAGACCTATATAGAATTGACCTTTCTGTTCCAAATAAACTAGGTCTGTCTGACCTGTTGATGCTGATTAGTACTTTGGAACTTTCATTTCTGTTCGAAGAAGAGTCCTCATGAGCTAAAAAAATGTGTTAGAAATGAAAAATTTTGCAATCAAAGCTTAGTATTGCTATGAAAGAGAATACAATCTATCAAACTTTGATAAGGTGTTTTTAAAACTCTATCTGAAATAATTAAGCTTACCCTTGTTATCTCTGCCAAAAGATTGGTGAGATGTTCTATTCTCTTCAGAATCTTGAGAGTTTCCATTGATGCCTACAAATTAACATTCTGCTTACTTGTCACCAGCTTATGAAGGTCAGCCCATCTCAGTGTGCTTGCAGGAGAGAATCAGATGTAAAACATAGTTCATGCAATGGAAAAACATCCGAATGTGAGAGACAGAATGAGCACATAATAAAGCATATTTAGCTGATCATTTGTGTTATCTTTGCTAACCAGTCCTTGCTTGTAAATGAACACCAGAAATCAGACATTAATGAATTGTTGGATGAGATCTTCGAATATCAATTTGAATATGCTCTGGAGCTTCTTTGCATTGATTTCTCCACAACCAATTCTCTCATAAAATGAAATTCCAAATGAGTCCAATGTCATACCAAGGAGCTTGTGGTCGCTGCATACTAGCAAGTTTACAGTATTTGATATCAAAGGGTTGAATGTTTTCTTCGGGATTTTACAGAATAAAGGCCTAACGAGACAGAATATTTGATAAGCCAGAGTCAGACAGAAGATAAAAATGGCTGCATACAAAGCAACCCATTTTAGAACTGAATTTCCTACTTCAACAGGCTTGAGACAATCATCAGACTCAGCAACAGCATGCTTGTATATCTCAACGATAGTGGCTACGTCTGTGTATATATCAATCTTCCCAACAGCGCCTGTGACACAGAATTGAAAGAACACTAGCCATGTTGTGCCAGAACATCTTCCTTCATAGAATAAGTTTTTTATTTTTTTGGAATATGCCCAACAGAATAAGCAAATTTCAACAAATATGGAGATGATGATGTAGACACCAAAGATCACATGGCATTCCCATTTTAGGCCTTTTCCCATGTCATCATGCTTCAAGAAAAATGGGAGAGTAACAGACAAAGAAAGATTCAGAATGAACAAAAAGTACACAGACTTCAGCAGAAGGCTAAAATTAATATCCTCCTCAGGGGTTTTTAGATACTTGAACGAAGTGATCTCTTTGCGAGCAGTGGACACTGCCTTTAAGTATTTGCATCACCCCGTGTTTGATGGCTTGTTTGGAAGTGTTATTGGACAGCTAGACTCTGTTATCTGAAGATCAATAAAATTGCCTCAGAGTTCATTCATGAGGAACATCATTTTGTAGTCATCTTGATGGAGCTTTCTTTGGATATCTATTTTGAACTGATATTTCGGAGTATTCCTCATAACTCTCAAATGGCCCATAGTTTTTGGAACTATCTCTTTCTTTTTCCTAAAGCAATTGTTAGCAAATTCAAAAATAGTGCTGTGTAGAAATTCACCAAGGAAAGTTTACTGGTTGAAGAAATTAGCATAATATTTGTATTTATCAGGCCTAATTATTAAGCAATGAGCAAAGTTAATGTTTAATAAATGTGCTCTTTTCTCAATGAACACCTTGGTTAAGGTAAGATTTTGTGATGAAATAACAATACCTGCATCAAAAGAGATGTTTTAAAATTTCATTTGAATAATCTTCATTCTGTAATTTCGAAGAGAATGTCTTTCAGACCCACTTCGATATTTTAATGAAATTTGGTATGCTAATACTTCTCTTTCCAAAATCAATAAGTTGCAAAGCTTTATAATAAAATCCTGGCTGGTCAAGTAATCTTATCACCTTGATGATATCATTGTCACTAGTGCCAATAAAATCTAACTCCTGTACTAAATTATCCTTCTGTTTTAACATAGTTTCCATCTCGTCAAGATGTGTGTTCTTGACGTTACACCCAAACTTCAGCTTGACTGGGAACTTGAGGGCCACTTTCAAGTCATGAGCATCCACAGGCTGTGGGCCTCAGTCTTCTGACGTGAGCACTGTATTGAGAGTTCCTCTAATCCCTCCATTTTTAGCTAGTTCCTTTGCTAGCCTTGGGAACCGCTTTACCTCAGATTCCTTCTCTAGAACAAAATTAGTAAAATTCTTAAGGTTTTCAAGCGATAAATACAACAACAGCCTTTTCAAAATTTTGTTTGGAAACGAGTCCAAATGTGGAAACGTGGGTTTAACCTGGAAAGCAGGCCTGAGCACTTAGGATTTTAACAGATTTGAGAGGGAAGTTGGGAAAGTAGTAAAAGTGATTTTAGAAGTGGAAGTGCTCAGATAAAGCAGTTCAAATATTGGATGATGAGTAGTTGAATGACTAATGTATCCCGAATAAACAAAGTGGAGCTAGAATATGAGGAATTTAGAAGATTGTAGAAGTTACAATTAAGGCTTTAAAGGGAAGGTTATAGATTTTGGTGTAGCACATATGGCACTGATTCTTGCTAATAAAATGTTTCGGATGGTAATGTGTGGGCTATTATTAATACCTAGCTTTATCACCTTGTTTAAACAAAAGCTTTTAGTTAATAAATGCTTCAAACTGAACTCTCTAATGATATTTTGCTAATTTTAAGTGAGCCACATCAACTCAGATTAACCTAATCTCTAAAGTGGTAAGTGATAGAGCACAAAACTCTTCTCTATAATTTACTGAAATAAACTTTGAGCAAAATCTGCAACACAAAACTTCATCCAATTGCATGAAAGACATCTTACTCAGAAGGATAAGCTCCTTTAATGCCACGTTCTTCTTGATTTTGTCACAGAGGTCAGAGTCTTCCTTCTCAAAGTCTGCTTTGTCCATATCATCGAAAAGCTCAGTTATGATTTCCACCTTCTCCAGTCTGTAGCAGTTGCTGATGGAATCAAGGATTTCAAATATTTCTTTCGTGCTCTTGATTCCAATCTTACGCAGGCAGAGAGTTTTAAGTCTTTTCTGCTTTCTCAGGAACTCTCATAAGGTTCTACACATCAGATGTTAAATATAGACAACAAAAGATATGTGGATAAGAAGTTAAAGACTGAAGAAGCTGGGATTAACTCCTTTTTTCATGATATATTTGTAAATCTTAAACAAAATCTTACAAAGTGATTAGATAATATAATTTTTATGAAAACCGAGCGACCTCTTGCCATACAAAGTGTCTAATTTATCTTTAAATATAGGAACAAATGCTTGCGAAATTTAGATTGCTATAAATAGAATAGATCGTATCTCTGACAATTGTTATAAACAAATTGTCGTTTTGGATCTATTTAAATCACACACTATATAAGCTGCTTTTATGGAAAATAGATGCTTAATAAGCCATTTATCTTGGTGAAATTTTACAAAATAAGCTATGAGATCTCAATGTGCTAAAGTACTGAGGATATTCAATGCCTTCTTTAGATCATGAAGCCATTAAAATTCAAGTTCTTGGTCATTTTGAAGCTTGAGATGATACTTAGATGTTCGAAAATGTTTCAAATTCTCAGAAAAAATCCAGAATTGAACAGCAAGTTTACCTCAAATTGCGGCCTGAATTCTCAGCAGTTCTTGGGACATTCTCGTGCGTAGCGTCTAAGAAGTTTGGACAGTCTATTATACAGTTGAAGTAATTTAATAAAATCAAGATTTTGATGTTTAGAAAGAGAAAGCCTGCTTTGACTAAATGAAGATCCTTATAATCCCACAAACAAAATGTTATAATCTTCCCATATTTCATAAAAAGCCTGGACTACACATTAAGATCAAGTAAACCGACCAAATCCATCGGAAGGGGTCATTGATCAGCAGCTTCAAAATGAGTAGATGAAAGTTCCAATGTTACTTATTATAGTTAGAGAGGACATGAATCAGAATGGGTCTATTCATTCTCTCCTAGCAATCCTCTCATGATTGTTGATTGATCTCTGCTGAAGTATTTGTTCAATTTTCTCAAGGTCCAAGCAGGTGAAATTTTCTTCGAATTCAAGCTCTTGACAAGACTCTCTTATTCCTAATAAGGAGTTATACCACATTGAATAAGCAATGATAACAAGAAAGGGTTTTATCATAAAGCTGATTTAAACACTCTTTATTGATCCCTGAAAGATTTTTAAATAGATATTCAGGAACAATTGCGGAATTTTTTTGGCTCAAGATTCACACTAATTGTTAAACAAAAATTTAAAGAAGTTAAACTGTAATGCTAAAGTGAAAAAGCTTTTTTGTGACAAAATTCTCTCAAAAGAATAAGCCTGGCTTGTTACTTACCTCCTCCGTTTTCAGAGTTCATTATGTTGTCCAAGTTTGAGATAAAGTCCATGATTTTTAAATCTGTTTCCTTTTGAGTTTGCTATAATCTTTGTTTATTCTGATAATAATTTTAATTGAAGGAAAATTTGAGAGAAATCTTATCAAATTATTGCCCAACACTTTTTCATACAAAATTATTCAATTATAAACATTTAAATAACTTTTAAACAACTTTTAACAAATCCTAAATCTCAACACTTAATCCAAAATCCATTTCCAACCTCTCAAAACCCCTCAAAACACCCTCAAACCCACTCCTTCCTCTACTTTCCTTCATTTCCTAAAAATTCCCCTCTCCACCCCCTTACCTCTTCTCTCCCCATTATTCCTTCTCCAAAACTATATTATTACATATTTCCATCCTAATTTCTCTTATGGGGTTTTGGGGTTTTGGGGTTTTGGGG